TTTCATTTGATAAACACGTTTAGATTGAATGGTAATTTATAATCAGTCACAAGAACGTCGAATCTGAATCACTTGAAAAAAAGTTGGGGGTGCTTAACTTTTTTCCAGGTGTATATATTATTTTGAAAACAAGTAATTTATCATTGAATTTATTGCTAACAAGTCACAGACACCTACTCTAGAAGAATCTTAAGCCCAACAACAACACAGTATATATTTATACTATTAAGAAATACAACTAAAAGACTTTATATTTTGACACTTGGGAAAAATAATTATATTTTAAATTCTGACATATGTATGTATGTTCACCATTGTTCTACTTTGGTACATATAAGTAAGACCTGTGTTTGTACTGTGAGGTTTTTATATATATTCTATGTTGTTTTGTACATCAGTGATTTTGTTACTTGGTATAAGAATGAAACAAGTTTTCTTCTTGAAATAAGTAATTTCAGGAATTTATTTTATATACCTATTTAATATGGCAGCGAACATTTTAGAAAAATTATTCATATTTTATAATTTTTATTGAAGTTATTAAGAATAAAGTATTTTACAGCTTGTACCATATATTCAGAAGTTTAACTATATTAAACTTGAAATGGTATTTCTTTCCTAAATAAAAATATCACTTATCTGTATAGGCTGAATGTCACACATTGAAAAAAGTTTTAACTGAAGATCACTTTGCTAATGAATTAAGGAACAATCAAAACCTGTATATTATGTTTAACCAACATACAAGTTTTTAAAAGTGTAATTTGTTTTATGTATTCTCTAACATTTTATTAAAATTACTTTATGCTTTTTCCTAGGACTTGGGTGTCAACAAGGTGGGACACATCAAGAGGATTCTACAAGCTATCAAAGACATCACTCCTTATATACAGACAAAGAAGTTTTCTTCCTAACGTTGGTGGTAACCTCTTAATGTTTGCTTAACATATGACTTTCCTGCTGTCAAATGTCAAAATAGTGCCAAAAGTATTAACTTTGTTGACAAGTCTTTTAACGTGTCTTTTTATTTTAAGTTTTACATTAAGAGGAGAGCATGGTAAACAGGACTACTGAGAAAAAACTTGACTCCCACCATTTGATCTTCAACAGAATAAATGTTTGGAGAGAAGAAACAACACTTAAGTTGTATTTTAATATTATTATTTTTCCTCCTTTAGAAATAAGTGGAATTGTATAATCAATCTTCTTACTTCAGCTATTGCTACTTACTGAAAAGACTATTAATTCCATCAGCATTCTTCCAAGACAATCTATTGTATGAATTGATACAGAACAGACACTGTTAGCAAAAAAAAGAGAGAGAGAGAGATGTCTGACTGAGGGTCCAAACTTATATATATATATATATAAATATATATATATATATGTATGTATGTATGTACATGTACATATGTGTGTTTGTCTATGCATATAAACATACATGTATGTAGTGATTTAACTTGTGAAAAGTTAGGTGTTTCCTGAAAGTTGGGAACCAACTATATGTCCTGTATAAGGTCACAATTTTGTACCACTGATTAAAGGTTGATGTGTTAAGATGAGAAAGTAAAAGTTATGTAGAAGTTGGTAAGAGCTTCTAGAGCTCTTTGAAATTTTTGCTTTATAATCTTTGTAAAAAGTCTAGATAGTGTGAGGCTTTATCTTGTTACTTGTACTTTTAGCACAAGCCAGTAGACTATAGAGCTTTTCTTCCAGTGTTTATCTTCCCAGTTTTACCAATACCACCACAAGATTTTAGGACCAACAAATTTGCCTGATCATTTAGAAGGTCTTACCTTTATCTTTGACCAAGAACATACAGTACAACAGGACAAAATACTCATGGTGCTGTAGTTAGCTGTGTTTTATCTAATATGAATTGAAACTTCAGCCCATCAATCTTAGAAACTGTGTTCTGAGTGACAGTTTTGCTTGTGATATGCTAGAATGTAAGTATGGATAATTTTCAGTGAATGTGTTGGATTTTAGTCTTTAATGCTCGGAAAGCAATTAGAGGTAAACTTAAACCATGACAAAATATGTTGTCAGTTGTAGAACTTAAGCTTCTTTTGAGATGTGTATAAAAAAAGATGTAAATACTGTAGAGTTAATTGCATTTTGTTTTACATCACTATAATTACTAGAACTAAGGAATATTGTTTTTGAAGTTCTAATTACTAATGCTCCATTTAGATGATTATATTCCCTCAGATAATTGTTTAGATTTGGAAGTCAATGTATTTCTTTCAAATTAAAATAATGCTTATGTACTATTGCTTGTGTGTGTTGATGTTCTCTGCCTGGTTTGTGTATGTGTTGGTGTTTTAGTGTTAATGTGATATCTTTTAAAATATTCTGTTCATTGCTTTCTGCTTATTACTGTTTTAGTTAATGTCTTGTTTTGAAGATATTTTTTTTGTGTTCTTATAAATATTGAATAGTTAATTATGTTTACTGTATTATGCTTAAATTATCATGAAACTATCTGTCTATCAGTGTTACAAAAACTTATGTTGCATTCTTTAAAATATTTAGTTCATTGCATTCTAATTTGATGCACTATTTGTTTTTAAAGTCAGTACCATATTTCCTTATAAGTGTGTACTTGTTACTGGTATGTATGATGTTGTATCTTTCAAAAAGTAAAAAAAAAAAATCTTTCCACAGTTTTAAATTTTGATGCACAGTTCCTTATCAATTTTAGATGTTACTTTACCCATTTGTATTTTCTGATTGCCTTATATTCAATGTTGCACATTATTGCTATGCAACTATTCTTTAAGTCTTTATGAGTAAGCAGTTTTAGTTTTTTCTTTGTAAAAACAATATTCAAGAGTGGTGCTAACATACTCAATTGAAATTGTTTTCCTGCCATGATAATCACGTTTTGTGTCACTTTTTCTATACAGCTTTTTGTTTTTTGTGAAGAAATCACAGGTAGCAGTCTAAAGCTGAACAAATATTTGCCTCCAGCAGTGATGTCTGTAGTTAACTTGTAAAGCTTTCACTGCTCATCAGTACATTTAATGTATTAAATGTTTTATCTCCGTGTGAATTATACAAGGCTTTACATTTGTTGTGCACATTCTTGGCACTTTGACTCTTGGAATATATTGATACGTGAAACATTTTTGTCATATGTTTTCTGTCTGTCTGGCTCCCATCTCACTCTTCTACATACAGACAATCATTAACTGATGCATTTTTGATATTGTTACTGGAGTTTTTGATATACATCTTGAAGTTGTTGTAATCATATTTATAAAATGTCTGTTTGATTGGTGTATTACCTTATTAATAATGATTTACTGTATATATATATATATACGTATAGTTGTAGCAATTTCACATTCCGATTTGTTTCCTTAAATGTACAAAATTTCCCAAGTGAAGCAATGTTTTATTTCATTTTGAATGTTGTACTTTTCTGTAAAATGTTTGCCTGTTTCAAGAAAGCAAAGACATTTTTGTAATAAGTCAGTGTTTGTGTTTTAAACAATCTTTTAAACTTAGTAACTAACCTAAACAATATCTCCAAGTCTATATTTCTTTTGAAACTTGTATTATTTATTGTAAAGGAACATAATTTCAGGTTCTACATCATAATACTTTTATAGCTATCTTTCATTTAAAAACTTATACTGATGTTCAATATATATTATCATGGTTATATTAATGTTTCACTATTTATGTTAGGAGAATTGTTCAATATATTTGACTGACAGTTCTTTTGTAGGAATTTAATAAAATAAGTCGACAACACCAACATTTTTAGAAATGCACAATAATTCATTTTATAAAGTTAAAAGCAAATATAAAACTAAGAAACACAACATGTTTCAGTGGAGCATACTCTATCATCCTCAGGAGACCAGAAAAACACAAGAAATTTCATTTATATACTCAAGTAAATGTACAATTATTTGTACAGTGGCGCCATTTACAAAATTGATTTTCAGAAATTCACTTCAGTGACACCAGGACCTAAATCTCTATTCAATATTATTTGGTTTTTAGCAATTTCTAATGACTCTGTTATGTTTAATTCATTTTTTAACTTCCTGAAGTATTTGTAGGTTGTCCTAACCAATACTATGTGAAGAGTTCACCATATGTTCTGCCAAGTCTGAATCACTAGTTTTTTATTTATCAACAGCATTTTTATGTTATTTAAACTTCAAATTTCTACTTACCTGTCCAATATACCTTAAACCATAACTACAAGAGATTTATATATTCCACATCTGTCCTTTACTTCAATTTTATCTTTAACACAATTAATGATATTAATTAATTTTAATTGAGAAGTAAAGGTTATTTGACAAGTTATATTTTTAATGCTGTTGATAAATAAAACACTCTTGACTGGGCCTTGGTAGAACATGTGGTGAACTCTTCACAAACAACCTACAAATACTTCAAGAAGTTAAAAAATGAATTAAACATAAGAGAATCATTTAAAATTGCTAAAAACGAAATGATATTGAATAGAGATTTAGGTCCTGGTCTCACTGAAGTGAATTTCTGGAAATCAATTTTAGAAATGGCGCCACTGTACAAATAATTGTACATTTACTTGAGTATATAAATGAAATTTCTTGTGTTTTTCTGGTCTCCTGAGGATGATAGAGTATGTTTCACCAAAACATTTAGAGTTTTTTGACTTTATAAAATATTGTGCATTTTTAAAATCGTTGGAGTCGTCAACTGATTTTATTAGGAAAATTGTGTCAGATATGTATTAGACTGAATGTAATATCATCTTGACAGGATAGTGAAGCAAAAATGTTAAGTATTGTAATAATATAATTTTGATTATAGGATAATGTTTGAATAAGATTAGATAGTAATCAAAAATTAATACAGTGGATGAAGCTCACAACTATATTTTTAGTCATGTAGTATTAATAAATAGGATACATTTTTAAAGTGTTGAACATAAAAAATAAGCTCAAGTCTTATTACAAATAAATGTATTGAAGTGTGAATATGGCATTAAGTTATCAAGATGAATTCTACAATGAAAAGTTTGCTCGAGAGAAAAACGACCATATGATCATTGCAACTATTAAGAACAATAGTTGTTGCTTGTTTTTTGAATAAAGAAATTTGTTTCTTAAAAATGTTATAATTCACAAGTCTGAAGTTTTGAAGAACTTAGTTATAAACCACAAGGTGCAGCTGCTATTGCATTGAATTTAGGAGCTAGTGAGCCTGGTTTGATTCCATAAGATATCCCCCCACTCTTCATTCTGTGGATTTGTTATAAGAGTGACAGTTGATTAGGATGGGTGGTAGGATGCTGCTGATTGGCTGCTTTCCTTCTGGTCAGTAGTTCAAAATTATGGCCCTTAGCTGATTGTCTTAGTAGCTTTGCCATAAATACATATACTGTTGTGTAATTATTTGTCTTTAAGTCTTAAGTTTTAATTAAATTCTTTTCATATTTCAAAACATATTTAAGTTAAAATTAAGATAGTGCAAATGTCATTTAAAGGACTATTCTAATACTTTGGTATGTAGATTATCTTAGTTCATTGGTTTTAACTAATAAAAAAAAGAACAGATATAGTGTTAAAAGAAAAAAGAGAGAGAGATGATTTGACTATGCTGACTTAATGAAAGTATATTTTGTTTTAGCAATATAAAGAAACAATATTGTTTCAATTAAACAACTTTCATAATTCTGTATTGAAAACTTGAGGCATGTTGGAGTCTTTTAAGACCCATGGGGAAATGTTTATATGTTCTTTGGTTTAGAAGGTTATATAGCATTCCAGATAATCTTTGAGATTAAAAAACAAAACAAAAAAAAACTTCTGCCGTTTGACTTGTATTGTCCTAGGTTAGGATTTGTTCGCTGTTTAGTATAAATTATTCTGAGACTTTTAGCAATCAGTTGTTTTGTTTAGTGTCTACTTAATGCTGCTGATGTGGTAAGTTACCAATACCTTTTCATGTCATTACACAAGTTGATTTTCTTTCTGAATTGTGTTTCAGTCACTTGTAAGTACACTAACTGAACAACCAATCAAGTTGTTTTTCAAGACTTGTGTATAACTTGATTTACTAGAAAATAATGTTTGTCATTAGCTTGTTTTCCAAGGTTTCCTTTAACTATATATTAGAATCTCAATTGAAGTTGTGAAGTTTATAGCCTGTTCACAAACTTTGTATTCAATTTCTGACTGTTGTTTTCTATATAATTTTATGGAATAATTCATTTAAAACTACCTCTGTTTTTTTCTTATAGTTTAAATAATTTTCCCTCACAAAAGAAGTAAAATGTTAATTTTTAAAAACATTTCTAAACTTGTTAAAAAAGAATAATGACATTTTTTTGTGTGTATTTGATAATTTTATTTAATTTGTCTATTCTGTGCTAAACATACTTAAGACTTGAATGTAATTAACTCTCTGAAAAGATCAACTTGTAATAATTAAAATAAATGATGATAATAATAATAGTTCCACTTACACAGTTACTGTAGTTGCTGGTTTATTTTTCTTGTAGACATTGGACTCAAAAAGAAACTTTCTAGATGTTTTTCTCCCACACATCAATATCAAAATAAATCATTCTAACCAGTAAAAAATCTAACTGTCAAAAGCATCAGAAGTTGCACACATTTTTATATTAATTTTTTAATCACCCAATTTTTATTTCTGCAAAAGGTTGAATATGGTATGTAAATGTTCATTTTCTAAGCACCTCGAGACTGAAGCAAAAATTCAATGACATACCGTATGGCTGATAACACAAGATAAATAAAAATTGGGAATTTTAAAACCTGCAAATAGAGATCGTAAAGAAAGTAAGCAAATAAGGCTGGAGATACTATAGACATTATGTACTCAAACTACAAACCCAAATTTTGGCTCCATGCTGTTATCTAGAATTACATTTGGTGGAGTCAAAATATGGATTAGTAGTTTGAGTAAATAATGTCTATGGTATCTCCAGCCATGTTTGTGTACTTTCTTCATGATCTCTATTTGCAGGTTTTATTTTATGCTCAACTATGTGCAAAGGATTACCTGATATCATAGCTATTTGATACGGTTCATGATGATTTAACTGTAGCTATCGACTATTTGATCGCATTAGTTTGTGGTGTAAAGTGTTAAGCTGCAGCTGGAGATTTGTTTGAGAATATAATGATAGTTTCTCTGTAACTAAATTCTCTATATACAATGAACAGCAATGGGAAAATATATGTCTAGACTAAGACACAACCGTCAATAAGCACATACAACATTTTACCAGTAGAAAAACAGCCTTTTCAAATAAAACATTGCTTTTAAAGTAATTATTCTACGAATGTGCGTAATAAAATTTAATATTATGTGTACTGATTTTTTCTTTACTCCTTCACTTCATACATAATATAGGGTTTGGCTCCATAAAGACACCAATTGTATAGTGTAAAAAGCATTGAATATCTACACATTATAGTCATTTAATGTTCATCTACTATTGGCTGGTAATTCATGTTTCACACTGTTCTTAAGTTTTTTAAAGGAACACCAAATATTTGTAAGAAAGCTAACTTCAAAGGGTAATGATAATATCCTTTACACTAGAATAAAGATTTTTGAGCTTATGTAAAATATAGAAGAAACAAATTGACTTTTCATTACCCTTATGACCTTCGCAGTACCTTATTTTGTATTTTACAAAAGGTTTGGGTGCAATATATTAACCTGTTTTTGTTCTAGTCTGGCAAGAAAATAATAAGAATTAAAAACAGGCCATTTTGAGCGGCTTTTCTTTTTCTTGAACATTTTTATATGTGTGGAACTTTAGCAGTCAATAGTAAAGGTTTTAAAATGTTGTTTGAACTGAATCTTTACTGTTTAAGATGCTTTTTATTAGGGTTTTGTGCAATTCCTTGTGATCCCTATTATGAAACAATGTCATGGTTCATGATACACGGAGAGAAAATTTTCAGGTAAATTACTGTATTTGCATTAACCAGGTACACAAAAAAACTTACAAGTTGTGCAAACAAAACATACTGTATTGGTAGTTATAAGTATATGTTTGAAGAATGTTCATTAACATTATGCAAGCATATGGTAAAACTGACTGTCAAAACTTTGTTTCGCTGAGAAAAGATCTAGTGTAAATTTGATGTGTATTTTTGGACAGATTGTAAACTTTATATTATGAAAAGGCTTGTTACAGATAAAACATAAATGAATAATGATTTATAGTCACACTGCTTTAATTGAGAGCAACAGTTCGATTAAGTTGAATCTATTTAACAAAAGTGTGTAGCACATTCTGTGGAATTATAATTATCAAAAATGTTTACGATGAAATACAAAAACATGATGTACACATGAACTTGAGCACTTGTGCTGAAGTTTTTATAATCTGTACTTTAGGTCTAGATCACTTAATTTATAAAATGATGTGTAAAACTGATGCAATTTTAAGTGTGGAACATTATTCTAAATGAAAAATTTAAAACTGCAAGTGTATCAATATAGTGTTTTTGTAAAGTTTTGAGATAGCACTTCAATTGGCAATAGAGGAAATTTAATATATCTAGGCACACAAAATAATTTTGTGCTTCATGCAGCATCACTATTTTAAATTTACATGTATGTATATCAAGGAAAAAAATTATCTATACTTCAGCTGCATTAGCTCATCATAACAATTTTTAATGTTTGCATAACAGTCTGTATTTAATTATTTTTTACAGGAACTTTTAGTAGACTTAAAGGTTAGAAACATATTTCCTAGTAAAAGTTCAAATCTAAAGGTTGAATCAAGGTAGCTGTTGCAAGATGAGCTGATTTTACTCCTCATACATTAATTTGTACAATGGTGAGGCCCATGCATGTATTTTCAGATATTTAAAGTTAGATATAATATACTTTTAAAGTGAATGTTTCAATACAAAATACCTTGCTAAAAAATTCTGATAAGATTACCAACCAAACCCTATGAAATAAGAATGGTTTAGCAAGGAGATTACAGGAAAGTTAAAAAATTTACAATTTATTTATGAAATAAAAGTTCTGCAACAAAATGTGTAAAAACATTATAAGCTAAACTTTTTCTGTTTATTTTAGTTGGACCCTTTACACAATGAAAAAAAAACTGGGTTTTGAAAGGGTGGTGCCTTTCTAAGCTTAAATTATTACTCTGTACCCTCAACATAGTTTCAAAATCAGGGAACAATATCTTTGTAATAAAAATATCTAACATCTTTGTTTTTGTCTTGCTTTTTAATTAAAAAATATAATTGCTACTTAAGAACATTTTATTATACAGGCTTTGTAGAGGATGTGAGGTAACACCTGCTCTGGTATATGAATAGTCACACTTGATGTAAACAAGTTAATTTTCTGTTAACAAATCAGCTGTTTAGCTTGTTAAGTAATTACTCTGATTTTAATAAAATAAATTTGTCTCATAACAGCAATAATAAGGGTTTGTATTAATATGCTATTTAGAGTATATCCAGAAGAAATTTTCTATATTTTTAAATGTATTTTAAAATAATAATTTTATTACTATTTAAATACTGCTTTAACAATAGAAATTTTCAAGCCTACACAACTGTTAAAATGAACAAAAGCTGACAAAATACTGATTTCATAGCAATAAAAAATTTAAGTTCAGAAAAAGCTAACATTACACCTTCTATGTAACGTAACAATCTGTAAATAGTAAACTTTTTCTTAAACCACACATTTTCTGAATATTAGTGCAACAAAACAAAGAATGCAGAAAATAAATTTCTTAAAAGCCTTAATTAATAACATGATACATAATGTATAAATTTATATAGCCACAAAATTAAAAAAAAACAATATTATAACTGTAATTGGTGTAAAGAGTTCTGTAAGACAAATTAAAATTTAATACAGTAGCTACGTTTACTTGAAAGAACAATTAAAGCCCTGGAACAGTATTGTTATAAACTATACTAACCAATGAATCAAAAATACTTAAGATTTGTAATAAAATCCCTGAAATACACATATATCAGGTTAATGGAAAAGAAAATCACCCAATCTGGCACACAAGTCTGAAGAAAACAGAAGTTCAAAAGATTACTCCAGAGAAACAATGTCTCACAAGTATAACCACTATAACATACATAAATCATAACTTGACCTTATACTACAAAATGTTCCACTAAAAAAATCATATACTGAAATAACATCCACTTATAACACAGCATTATTTTATCTAATAAAAGGCTTCAATTTGAACAGAGTAATTTAGTTAACAAGTAAAAAAAAAAAAAAAGAAGGGCAGTAATAATACATATATATTGGATATAAGAAATCTATATATCTTTAGAAAAGCCTATAATGACAATTTACCAACAAAGGTCATAATAAAATATACAAATAATCATATGAACTTGTATTAAATCATCTACAGATTATGCAAGTAGCCAGCTGATAGCTTATTGATTAATCTAAAAATACACCTTAAGCATCAAACCAGGATTATAACTTGCATTTGCTTGCTAATTCAACTGATAATATAATTTACACTGTATTAGATAACCTTACCTGTAGGTTGCAGTCTATTAATTGACTAAAAAAGGATGCCGCAGTCAATTAGTAAGAAAATAGTTGTTTTTCTAAATAAATAGTAATAGAAAACTTCCAATTTCCAGAATTAACTATTGATCTTTTTTTTCCTTGTAGCTAACTTCCATTCACTGAAAAAAGAAACAAAGTAATAATATTAAAGTCTATGGTGAATTTTACAATGTTATGGGCCGAATGTGGCCAGGTGGTTAATGTTCAAGACTGTGGATCTAAGGGTTCATGGTTTTTTGTTACGGAGAAAGAAAAAAAAGTGCTCCACACTCTGAGGCCATAAGTGCACTATAAGAGTAGCAGCCAAATCTCATTATTCAATCAGTCAAGAATTAGTGGTGGATGCTGTTGACTAGCTATCCCCCCTCCCAACCTATCAGATCAAAAATTAGGAATAGCTAGTGCAGAAGATAGTCCTTGTTTAGATCTGCAAGAATATCCACACAAAAAAAAACTAATATAATATTCTCTGTAACTTTGAAGTGAAACAAGTATCTTTATTAAGCACAACATATAAAAACTATGCCTGTTCAAAAGCAAAGTTTATTAACTATGATAATTTGAACTACACATTCCACTGCTGTGTTTGTGTATAACTGCATTACACATATATAATTGTGTGTATATTTGTATTATCTATGCATTCTACTGCTGTAGTATGTTTATAACTACATCACATAAACATTCTACTCTTTTGTATATAACTGCATTACATTCACACTTCAGATGTGTTATACGTAACCTCCATATCAACAGAACTGCATTAGCTACACATTGATTTGGTGTACTCTTTGCATTATAAAAAAACTGATATTACTTTCAAAACCTTTGTTATTTGAAGCACAAAATGCTATCAAGTCCTCCCATAAAACAATAAAGTCAATTTTCCATCAACTATCTAAAGTCTCATGTTACTTCTTAAAACCAAAATATATAACTAAGTATGTACAAAGTTTCACAATACATATTTAATCAAATTTTATTATTCCTAAATACATTATCACTCAACAAAAAATTAGCATAAAATAATTTTATCTTTTACATCTTCAATAGTGTTATAAAAACCTGATCTGGTATTGTTTGAGAGGTAATAAATCAAGTGAATATGAAATGGAATGTTTTATTCTCTTGTCTCATTATAATATATATAAAAAAAATGCTGGTGCAAATATCAGTATCAGAGTTTCTATAGGCAGTTATGAGTAGAAAACAGAGTGACAACATACATCAAATAGTTCTCTAAAACTAATATAAGTGGGTTTTAAAAGAAAAACTTAAAAGTAACTACAGACTAGCATCTGAATAATTCAGTGCAAATACAAATTAGTGAAATTTAGCTCAACAGCATAAACAAAATCTATATTTGCTAAATTTGAAGCACCATTTCTGTCATCAGATACACTGGCTTTCCAGACATCAGCACGCTTATCAAAAAATATGTCAGCTTATGACACATTTTTTTATCAAAATATAAAACAGTTTTATTTGACAACATGTTTAGCAACGTATAAAGTAACATTAGACAAACTGGCCTACTTCTAGCCAAACAAATGAGCCTTTCTGTTTATAATCCAATAGACTAACTTGTTTATAATATTATGATTATGGAAAGGTAGATCAATCCGTCTAATATAATCATGAGATAAGAAATCCTGATTTAGGTCATCTTGTTTAAAACAGATATTAGCATGTCTGGCATCATCATATATATATATATAGAGAGACAAATCAAATTGTCTGAAATCATGACTTATCATCATCAGAAGCTTGTCCGGTTTGTGTTTATCATCAGGTAGACACGTCTGTCTAACACCATGTATGGTACTAGAAGAGCACATATCAGAAAAGCAGCAACTACACAATTCAAAAATATTCAGTAACCTGAGTGCATTTGGTAGGTAGATGTTCTTCATCAAAGTGATACTTATCAACATTTAAACTATATCCAAGACCATCATGTTTAGGAACAGACTTTAGTATGATGAATACAATATATGTTGCCTTAGTACTGAAATTTTCTTGGTTTATGCTACAGTAGAAGCAGTAAAGGTCATTTCTACGCAGTGTTAATAATAGTGGAATTTGATTACAAAAATAGTCCAATAGGAGATTTTGAAGGTTATTTTGCTTTTATATTTCATTTATTAATAGTGAAAAGTGCTTCATATGTAAATAGTCCTGAACAAAAATTTAGTTTGCATTTTATGAATGATCCAAAAAATAACTGTGGTTTTCACTGTTCACTATTAAACATTCTAAGTGTTCATGCATTTTTCAGTTTAGATCACAAAACGAAGCTGTTAAACATCTTGACATCATCAAAGAGTATAACAACAAAGCATATAACATATCTCTCTCTGATTAATCCTAACTTTAGCACTTATAAGCAAATGGCTGAAGATGGTATATATATAAGCATTGCTGACATTCACTTCATATCCCATTTTAAAAGATATTGGCCACAAAGAAGGCTGAATGACATTAACCCCACAAATAATTCGAAATCATTTTTTAATGTCCAGTTGAGCTATTCATTATTTTCCAGTACTGTCTGTCTTTATGTATGTAAATTAGAACTGGATCAACCATGATAAGGTCATACAAGTTCCCAGGAAATTGTTTACTCCAGGTGAAGTAAAAATGAATGACTGGTAGGGACTTAACAACAGAGACCTTTTCTAACCTACAAGTATCAAGTATTGCTGGTTGTCAGCTTCATAGTAACAACTTCTAGCTAAATGAAGCAAAATGAAAGAGGATATCAACTGCTGAAACTTCTTGGTCCTATTTCACTTTGAAACCAACTTCAAACATTAACCAATCAGTTCATGAAACAAATTGTCTTTTCTGTCTATATATTATCATTATAAACATCACGCCTAATCTTTCAACATTAACATCTCTATTAGTCCTTAGTTAATGAGCCAAAATGTCTTTGTTTGATACTACTACTATAAACTTCACACTAAAGGTCCCTTCTAACAAACTGGTTGATACTAACTTTAAAAATAAATACCTCTGTGTCATCAAGGCTGAAACATTTTAACATTATTAGTGCAAATTTCATATCATATCTTTACATGCAGATAGAGCACTTCTATTTCTGGATTCTACAAACCTCAAGCAAAAACACTTCTGTGTTTTCTTAAGATACAAGTTCTGTTTTGCACTACCACTATAAATTTCACATCTAAAGACTTCGTTTATTTTCTTTCCAACACTCAGGATATTATTTTTTTGGCTGGCACCAACTCCAAATAAACAAACTTATCTTTGATCTCTCTAAATTTCACACCAAAGGCCTCATTTTACAAACAGAAGGATCAACTTCAAACATAAAAAGACCCCTGTTTGATATCTCATGAGCTAAAGTGTTTGTGCACTTTTTCTACTTCTAACTTCATACCTATATTTAATTGATGTTGCTAGAAGAGGCTTATATCAGATTTTTTACATGAAACTTTAACACTGCAGGTTAGACCATACACATAAACCTAGTTTAGGCAGCACCATGGGGTATTTGTACAAACAGCCAATTTGTATATGTAGATAATGTTCCTGGAACGTTTTGATTATGGAATGAAAAGAAAATCAGTGTGGTTTTTGATGTCAGTAAAAAGATACCAAACACTCCTTCACCTTCTTCAGAGTAGAATAAATGTTGGAGCACATAAAAAGTCCTGAGCAAGTTCATGAGGCAATCAATATACCCAGCTTACAGGTACCCACTGAGGAGTCACACTTATCTTCTCCATAGCTTTCTCCAAAATCTGTATTGTTTCATCAATGTTGTTGTTCACTACTGTCAAGTCAAACAAATGCCCATAAGCTTGTCGAAGAAGTTCACTCTCCTTGGTCAGTCGTTCAAGGCTTCCATCAGTCTGAGAAAGAAATATTATTAGAGTGAAATAATTTAAATAAATATGGCATATGGAAAAAACATACAATCATGTTTGTCACCCTGTTACTTGGATGTAACATCATAAAACACTAAAAAATCTTTTTAATTGTTATGGCAAACGGATTTATATACTTGAATATAGTTGAAAATAAATTTTCATTAATATTTCCAGTAAAGAAGTGAGCTGTTGTGCATCCACTTTGACTTATTCTAAGCCATCTGTAGTGGATATCTTACCTTAGTGCTATATGAGAGATAACAATAAACTTGATACGTGTATCTGTAGTATTTCTTTAAATCTTCAAATCCCCATTTCATGGTATCTTTATGAAATCAAAATGTGGGAAGGATTTAACCAATTGTCTTAGTAACTTACATCATTAATTGTTGATAAAGATGGTGCAGCAATAAAGATCACATAAGGAGTGTATTCTGCTGTTCTTAGTATCTTTAAGGCCTGTAAAGTAAACAGAAAACTTATTATTTTTTTATATTTATACTTTCTCTATTTCAGGACAAAAACTGAGTAATTCCTTATAAGAAATGTGGCAAATTATTAATGCTGCTTGTCCTTTAAACCATTGCAGTAAATAGATTTTTGTATTCAGTTTAAAAACAAATTTTCTGGGAAAGACATACAACTCGTAGATTTATAATACTGATAAAATCTGGTAATTACTGGAGGAATACAATTAACAAACTCACTGGGATAATAAGATTGACTTCTCAGTGCATAATTTAACTCCAAAAAAGTCTAATTTCAGTTTCACAATGATTATACTACTTAAATTATTATTAAGTTCCTGTGAGCGCAAGCTACTTAGATCAAAACTAAAAATCAAACCAGTAATAAATATAGCTAATTAAGTATACTTTTCATACTCTCTTTCTTATAAAGATAAGAACTCATTATGTTTAAGCATGGAAGTACAAAAGTCTTTTAACTGTAAACAATAATAATATCTGAATTCTATAAGGATACTTAACTTTTCCCATTGGTTTTCAATAACTAATACTAATCACTGCTTATTTTTAACACAAATTGACTAAAGCACCCTATTCACTTACATAGCCTATAATTTTCCCAAAACTTTCTCATCCAAACAAAGAACATTTTACACCCTATTCTACATACTACATTACACAATGATCTCAATTACTCAGACTCATAACAATTTAGAAAACACCATCTTTTAATACTTATCATAAGTGTCAAAATAATATAACAGCTAGAAAGATAGGTATTAAAGAACACCAAACATCCAGTTACTGTATTTCTCTACTACTATACGGCTCATTAATACTTTGTTAGATGCACTTTTTTTTTGTTGTAGGAAATCTAAGTGAACTCATCATGCTTTCTCGTTGCTGGTGACCCACAAAAAAGTTTTACAATGTTTTTAATGACTATCAACATGTTCAGCAAGAATGCTAAAGTGTAAAAGTTTTTCTTAAATATTCTAGCTGAGATGCTGTATATATGATACACTACAGTACGAAATTTCAATGTAGTAGTTAAAAAAAAAAACTCATTAAAAGTTATGCATAGAACCTAGATGTATTGTTTAAAATATTCAGTATTTGTAACACTGCTTACATGCATATCTAGGCACTAGAACGTTTGTGGAAAGTCCTTATGTTGCTACAAATGAGTTCATTTCCCACACTTGTGAGAGGAAATGACCATACAAATACATTTGGAATTAATTTTTAACACTTGTACATTTTAAGATCATTTACAATATGTACAATTACAGTTTATGATATTTTGTATAACTGTACTGTTCCACCTTAATTGCGATTTAACTGTTTCTTGAAACAACTTGTAAACCAAGTATCTTCATACCGTTTCATATACAAGAAAAAATTTTCACTGGCTAAAATCAAAAAGTCAAAAGCACTACTAATACTGGATGAATTCCATATCATAGTAACTTCGAGAAAATTAAGTGGCATATTGGCCCATACCAATATAAATGCTACGTTTTAAATTAGTTAAGTAATTCGCACCATGCCAGTTTTTAAACTGGCTGGTTACCTATACTAACCAACTTTGAAAGTAGTCACAAGTGACAGATAACCTACATTATCTTAATTAAAAAACTTGTAGATGTCTTGATGAAAGTACATAATTATTTCTCAGTCACCTGTGGTTCTACATCAAGAATAGCTATCTTTTCCTCTTGATGAATCCTACGTATTGTTTCTAGTTTTGTGCCATACATTGCATCTTCATGGGTCCCATATTCTAGGTATTCATTAGCTGCAATGTCTGTCATCATTTCATCATGGGAAACAAAGAAATAGTTCTTTCCATTTTCTTCCATTTTCCTTGGAGCTCTCGTTGTATCTGTGGAAAGGATGAAAACATAAATTTCAGAGAATATATGACACTCAAGTAAATGAAAGCTACTTTGTGAAATACCCATGAATTTCCAAGTTCAAGAAATTGGTTATGAAACATTCTAGAGCTGGGAACTCAAAATATTGTCTGATATATGCTACATATATAAAATTAGAGAAATTTTGTGATATATCCCAAAATTTATACATTCAGAAAGCTACCTACCACACTAGCTATTGTTTAGTTGGATTAGTTTTGTACAAGTGGATGAAATGTTTTGTTTTCTCAGGCTTATCCATTACAGTAAAACATTGTTTAGGAAATTAACAGGGTGGCCAGATTCTTTCAAAAAATCTCCCTAACTTTTCAAGCCTGCACATGTACACATAAAGCACACTAATATTTAAAATTTCCCTCATAATGGTATTTAATTAACATCACTTCAGCTTGTATCCTGCTTATAAGAAGTAAAAAAACTTCATAACATACATACTTCAGACTTTGGTACTACAGGAAAAGAACTTCAAATAAAGGTACTGTAAATTGATGAAAAACGAAAAATATATTTTTATTTATAAATGAATATCTGATCAAAGCTATCACAAGATCAAATAGACTGACCAAGGTTAAGTTACACTAAAAACTGGTATACTTAAACTTCATGGTTTCTGAGCATATATAGGTTCAGAAATCAAAAAGGAGAGCACACTTTCCCCGATTTTTCCAGGTTTTTCATACTCTTAGCCATCCTGTATAAACTCGTTTTGAATTTTGTGTTAGCATTGAGGATTTAAAGAGATTGGTATCCTATACTGTTTTCATATTCAAAGAACTTGTAGACTAGAATTAATTTAAAGAATTAAGATAACATTTTCACTAAACTTTCCTTGCATAATTATTTTGTCCCATGCTAATTGTTTGTCAACTGCTACTTCAAAACAACAAGATATATTTTGTGAAATATCTTGGAGCTTCCAAGCTTAAGAGACACTATATAAAATGTACTACAGCACCAATATAGTGATTCTTAACCCACTTTCTGCAGCTCCTCTAAATGCATGCAGAATGTTTGCAAGCCCTACATCATATACAGTACATTTGCATTTAACTGCCAAAGGCAGACTGTACCCTATACGGTGAAACAGTAGTCAACGGGTTAAAGTATCCCAAAACTCCCTAATTAAAAACTTACCATATGGACTAGAGATTTTTATTAATTAATTCACAACAAAAAAGCAAAGAAAACATTTTTTAATGAAAAAAAAATACTTACGTGGAATAGGATATGCATATTTGTCTGGATGATTTGCTATCAATGTGTTCTTAATATGTCTCCTTCCCACACCATGAGCACCTGTTAGTGATACAGAAACACAAATATGAACTTATTACATTTAAAAAATGCAATTCTTTTTCAAAGTGACTCTCATTCTGAAGGAGAAAATTTGTTTGTTCTATACTTTTTAAGGTGCAAGGTTTTTGTCCAAGTTAGACATAAGGTGTCAGTTTAGAGAAAGAAATAACTTAAATGTCTATGTGATCAAACATTTATACTACAACTTGGTCTGTGACTAAAAATTGTGTCTTCTCCAAGTATGCATGTAATTGGCAGCTATAGCTCTCAAATGAACTTGCAATCGAATTGATACATTAGGAATAAAGTCACAGACGGGCCACATCAACACATTAAACAAAATATAAAGTGGCTTGAAAGTGTTATCAACATTAGTGCATTATATCATTATAATCTGTTTGAGTTTATGGCAGATTTATCAATAAACGTTAATTTCAAATGATATTACTTACAACTGCTTGAGTTCAGAAATAGCATATCATTCAAAGATTACTAATAACTTTCATTATAAATAACACTTATCAACTATTACCCAGAACAATAAAAAAAGTTAGTGTTTGAAGTTGATACCATGGTAATAAACTGTTGAATAAATTTTAACAAATTTTTTTCTTACCTAAAAGTACAAGGGTTTTTCTTTTGAAGGCTGGAAGTTTCACAACTTCTTCATAAGTAACTAAATCTAGTTGATCAAAAATGGCATTATGTTTGGCTAGATATTTGTCTTTGTAGTGTTTCTTTTTCCTTCCAAATATTGAGCAATTTACTGTAAAATAAACCATAGTTTTCATCTAGTTCATATCAATAAACAGGGTATTGAAACCTATTTTTTAAAATATAATTTTACTGAGATGACCAGTAACATCAGGTTCTAGCACCTACCAGACTGAAACTGAACATTAAGTCTGAAGACAGTTTTCTGGACAGTTGCTTTAATAAAGGCAGTTAAAATCTTTTTGAGAGTTAAGCAAAGCAAAAGGCTTATAGCAACTGAGAAAAATGAAACCAGGACCACAAAGTGAGGCTTGAAAATTGTGTCTTCTGACAGGTATAGCAAGGGAGTGACAAGCAGAATATGGCAACTGACAAGCAACATTTAGCCACTGTGGTTAAAGGCAAGTAAGAAATGTGATATTAATGGATTATTGATCAGCAACCAGTAGGGTCATACTGGTTGTTGATGGTGCCCTGTGCAAAATATAAATTCTGTGCCCTTCTTCAAAAAAATCTAATCATTCCCCTCAAAGATGCAAACTCATCCCCCCCTATAGTTCGACACTTTGTGCGGGTGCAATGCTCACACTACACTTGGTACAGCTCCCTAGCACTACTACAAAACCAGTGTGGCTATTTAAAAGAAAACTTCATGTATTAGGTATGGTTTTGTCAAACAGAACTTTAAAAAATTAGTGTGGCTCTTGATAAATATGCAACATGACTATTCACAAATGTGAATCTATATAAGTATAATAGTACTGTCTGTTGTATGTCCATGTAACTATTTTGCAGTGTGTGGATGGATCTTCACTAAATTTGGCATGGAGGTTCATTAGGTACATGCAGGGGTACACACAAATTTTCAGTTTTGCAGTTTTTACAGACATTTTTGTGTTTTTTACTAATACTTCACCCCCCTCTGGATGGATCTTCACCCAATTTGGTATGGAGGTTCATTGGGTCCATGGGGAGATACATAAAAATTTTCAGTTTTGCATTTTGCAGTTTATATGAGCATTTTTTACCACTACTGTTGATGGATCTTAACCAAATTTGGCATGAAGGTTTGTTGGGTCCATACAGAGATACATGCAAATTTGCATTTTCACATTTTGTGTTTTGCAGTTTTTATGGGCATCTTTGCATTTCGTACAATTACATATAAGAGAAACAACTTTCATCTCCCAAGATAACCTTTAATTATTCGTGAATTTACATAACTTCCGTCCAGGGGATGGGTACTCCAACTAGTTGTAAATAAGTATGGTTAGTAATAAGTAAACAACATAAAAGTAGCATGGTTATTGTTAAAAAAAAGCAGCATGAAGCTACAACTGACAAGAGAGCAGTATGGATTTAATATGATTATTAGAAAGTGAACAAGAAGAAAGTATTATGTCTATTGCCAACATAGAAAAATATGTATGTAGTGAATGCAAATATTCAAAAATGTGTAGTTACTATGGCTGAAAAGAAGTACAGTATACCTAGGGGCTACTGAAAACATCTACAGAGAAGTCTAAAGTTATACGAATTCATAGTTGCACTAAAACTTATAAACTGTAAATAATAAATAACATTTTTTTTTGTTACTCTGATACAAGATATCAAATTAAAATGTTGGTACTTCAGTGTCAGAACCTTGATTCATATTTATGTACACAATTTTGATTTCTGTGCTTCAGTTTCAAAAATCTGGAAAACCTTTGTTACCTCATTCTAGCGTAAGCGCTATATTTTCAAAACTCAATATTATTTCTCAGATTCAGTGACAGCATCTTGTTATTTTCTAAGTTTTTATATTTCAATCTCAATACCTTGGTCATTTTTGGTCCTCTCCATGGCCACATAGGCTGTTCTCCACTCCTGAAGTTCTGGAGAAGGAATCAACCCTGCTGTGCTATCTGAACCTTCTTTTTTGGCTTGCCACCAGTTATGGTCATCTTTACTGATAATTTGAAGAATATCTCCCATTCTAAATGAAATCCCAGCTTGGGCACAAGGTATAAGGTCATCCTTTAAAGGATTATAATCAAACTGAGCCCGCATGTAGATCTATGAAAAAAACAGTATTAAATTCTTTAATATTTTAAATAATCATAAAAAAAACTATTAAGTTGAACAAGAGCAGAAAATAGTTTATATTTTTTTAACGAATTTCTCTAAATCACTTTATTTTTGAGTGTTGTTTAAAATTCTTATTTTTCTGTCTTGATTTTGTTTTTACAGTAGATTGAGAAAAATGTCATATTATCCTCATGTACTTACCTTGTAAATGTTTTGAAACAAATTTTGCTGTGTAGAAATATACATATTTCTTGATTACTTTTAGTAATTACATGTTGCAGGTTTGACAAAGACATTGTCATATGGTTTATACTTTCTAACTGACTTGAATTAAAATGCCTTAACCCAGAAAGATGTTGATTAGAAATTTATTCCCAACCTTTACACTACATAAATAGTCTTTTAACAGAATAACAATAATTAGATTATGGAATAGTCTACAAGGTTAGTAATTTATTTACTTGGTGACATTTCAAGCAAATGCTGTTTTTCCAAGCCAGAATAAAGTCTATCGTTTAATGTCACAGGTTTATTGAAGTTCCACTTCATTGTGGATATCTGAAACAAACACCACAGTTATAATTCTGTGCTAACTTGGGATTACTGAGGCTATAGCATAAACAAAGAGCTTAGACTGTCTTATAACATGAAGTAAAATAAACAGGAATATTTCAATGCCACAGTAATAGCCACTGTATTTTAAACAATTAATTTTATAGTTTTTAAAGGTGATTTTTCTCTAAAAGTCACCTTTAATTTCTTTATTTTATCATCTTCACATTTTTCTACCAAACTAAAGTTTATACTTACTAAAACAGGAGGTGGGTTTATCCGGAAATACTAGCAGCATTTGAGAAAAGAAATACAATATTTGAATAACTGCACACTACACAGTGAGGTTAAAAGTGATGAGACTTCCTACATGTTCTATCAAATTACAAGTCAAAAGTCTAGAACTCCATCATGGTACACAAACTAACCAAATTATGCTTTATTAACTACAAAATGAAGTATTTATGTAACTGTTTTTAATTTCCATGAAGTGCTAGTGAATGCTATTGAAAATGTGTGTTAACTAGGATAAAAAATCTGCTAGACTCTTCAAAACTTGTTTAAAAATAGTTGTATTTTGTATTAGCAAATAAGTTTATTTTAATCTATTTCCAGTCATCTTACTGTTAAGTACTTTCCAAGAAGTACGTAAAGCGACTCTAAACAGTTCTTTATCTCTGATTATGAGTAAAAATGTGATGTGCTTGGTGCAGATTTTGATGCAAAAATAATGTGAGCTTTTGTGCATCTCAATTTGATGAATTTTTATTTAGCTTTAAAAGTTTTATCTTTCAATCCTTACTTGAAAAACTTATTTAAAATACAAGTCTAATAACTGGAGGGAACTGAGAAATTATCATTACAATTATGTTGTCATTTGATTAAAAAGTTAACTTTACTGATGTTTTATAATCTACATATTAAGAACAACAGCCACAAATTAGAAATGGACACTAGAAATAAATATAAAGTGTAATCTACCCTTCAAATCACCACTTGTCATCAAGTTACATCAGTGTCAGATAGTGAATCGAAAGACAGATTCGACTTCATACTTATTTTTGTATTATAAACAGCTTGTCTGCTGAATAATTTATTCAAAAGAATAAATTAGTAGCATGAATGCTATATATTCTTCAAATCCTATACATAGAAATGGACAGTTTATTACAACAGCCCTTTAATATCAACACTTAGGGAGTGTTTCATTATGTTTTAACAAATAGGAACTTTACCTCACAGGGAGGAGGGGCACTACGATAGCTTGGAACAATTTTGAACGTTACACTACCCCGAGCTTCTCTCTGTGGTATGAAGAAAAGAATAGTATAGTTAAAATTATAAAACTAATTCCTGAAATTCTATTAATTACTGCATAATCAATAACTTAATAAATGAAAACTATTTCTAGATATATTTGTTATCAACAAAATGAAGTGTCTTGAGACTTAATGCTCCTAATTTTTTAGAAAAGTTAAAACTATTGTTATATACACAAAATTACAAAATTAAGACTTTCTCTTTCTCAATATATATACATGTGTGTTACAATGTATATCTTTATATATAACCAAATAATAGGTTAAAGTACATGTTAAATTTTAACAGCATACTGAAATTAATATACATAGTTTAATACAAACAGTGATAAGATGTATGTACTTAGTTCACTGCAATTACCTTATATTAATATATCACTATGAGTGACTTTAAAGTGTATGAACATAATTTTTTTTATAAGAATTCAGAATTATGGCATACATGTTTGTCTCTTAAAACAATTTAAACATATATTTGTAATGTTACATAAAAAAATGCAAACAATTAACAGATATGTTTAGAAAATGTATATATTAAATCCATTTGTTTAAAAACAAATTCAAAACATATGTACCTTTCTTAAAATATCATATGTCAATTTTATAAAATCACACAGCAGGTATTCCAAGATGAAAGTTATATAATAAGAGGCACAAGAGTGTTTCTAAGTGAATGGTAGTCCTTACCATCATAGTTTGAAGTGCTTCAACAGATTGGTTTGCAACAGGCACTCCATTGATTTCTTTTATTTCATCACCCACATGAAGAGTTGCTATATAAGAACAGACAATACTCACAGAAAAGGCCACTCCTTGTAAATTGTTAGTTTCTTAAAATGTCAGTAAAATGTAATGTCAAATGTGTTAAGTGCATGAAAAAATGATTACTAATTTCTTTTCATTAAATATTAAGAAAGAAAGAGCCAATAAAACAGATTCATAAGAGTTATATTTTTTCGTAATCTGTTGCTAAATAATGTTTTTGCTAAAATAGTAGACTAAAAAAAATCTGGTAACATTACAATACAATCACTAAATTTGGTTAATTTTTATAAAAATATTTATATTATTATAATTTATATTAATAATTCTTCTATCATATTATTGTTACAACCAAACATCCCAGCAATTTAAATTCTGTGATTTTATTAAAACTAAACAATGAAATTTATTAAATTATAGAATCAACTTAGTCCACTTCCTTAACCATTCATCTAGTTTATCTTTAAAACCTTTAAATGTGTTTCTCAGTTTTTACTTGAAACAAGTATAAAATATAAAATGCAAGAGATTCAATTTTAAATGTGGAATTTTTTGTATTTAATTCATTCGTGGTTAAGTACAAAGATATACATAATGGGCTATATGTGGTGGCCATCATGGGGAACAAACCCTAAATTTTAACATTATAAATCTCTAGGTTTACCTCTGAGCCACAGAGGTGGGGGGTTTTTGTATTCACAATTTTCAATGAAAATTATTAACCAATAATTTAACTGTACATGAATGTGAAACACTATATTCTACAGAATCATATTAGCCATACAAGTAAAAAAAACATTTTTAACATATAGATATAATGCAAAAATATGTCAAATATTTTCACTTTGTAAGAAACAAAAACCCCATAAACTATTTCCATATCTCTACTGAACCACCATATTATTAGTAAATACCAATGAAAAATATTTTTACTGACAAAAAAACAACCTGTAACTGAGGTTCAGTTGCACATTTTTATTAAAATAATGTAGCCCCCTTGAGTGCTTATAATGCTAAAAACCCCACGAAGAGAGGGTGTACAGATAGCCCATTGTGTATCATTGAGCTTAACAACAACAAAACTTTTTAGTGCAAAAATGTTAATATTTATTTTTTACATTTAATAAAATGAAGAAGCAAAATTTTATTTACATTGTAATAACTTACACAATTTCATGAGGACAAACTTTTCAAAAATTTTGAAACAATTCAATCTTGGATTTTTTTTAAATATTTTATAATGAAATTCACATTTTTTTTTCATTAAATTGAAAACTTATTGTGAAATGTTTTTTTTATTAATTTTCTTTTATTACAACTTTTTATTTTATATTTCACAGCATCTATACTTACAGATTGTGCAATGTCAATTACATTGATTATATATATATATATATATATATATCTGTGGACAGCATTTACAAATGTTTTCCACATAAATTTCAAAACAAGCACAGTCTTCTCTACCTAAACTTTCTTTTAAACGTTAGTTTTAACTTCAAAATTGTACTTTATTTATTGATGCCCATTTTATTTCCACATTATTTACTTGAGATACAAATTATTTAAGGCAAGTGATTTATAATTAAACAAAAGAGACATAATCATAAAGAAGAATTTTTTAATTCATTGAAACCAATGTACAGTTTTCTTCTCTATGCATTTTAACACTTGTATAAAGGCTTTGAACTCCACCATAACTCTTATCTTAATACTATAATTACTGAATATTACCATTAAATTTGATCATTACTCTAAGATATTTTCCATCAGGATTAGTCAAAAACAAATATAAACAAATCCAGTGATTAAAATATAAAAATGTTTGGAATTTCAAAAACCTACAATTTCTTTATGGGTATCTCAGATTTCAGTAACAATCTGTAAAATACATTGTCTTGTGATTCTTCTCTCAATTCATAATTAAAATCTCCAAAGGTTAGTTACAAACAAGTAGTTAGCCTTTCAATTTTTATTTAATGACTAAAACATAAATTTAAAAAAAGAAGTTATGTATATAAGCATTTCATCTTTTAGTTTAGTAAAGCAATAAATTTGTAAAAAGTCAAATATTTACATGTGCTTTAGCTTTTATTCAAAGACAAAGAACAAATTACCTTGTCTATGAATCATCCCTCCATGCATAATTCGAGCTACAATACATTTTCCAGTTTCATCTAATTTTAAAGTGATGCCCTGTAACAGAAACACTTACTACAGACTTTCATAAAATTGAATATAGTATACTGAATGCATATAAAACTACTATAATGCTTATCAATCGGAAAACTTTAGATATTTGACCAGAAACCTTTGCAAAGTTCGAACATTACAAATCATTTAATTTCAGTGGATTCTCATCGGACATTAGTATTTTTACAAAAATATATAAATTCATCGTGGAAAACTTGGTGTGCGTGTGTGGCTGATGAATAACGAAGGACAAAGCTGGCTAGCTCCCTGTTAAGTGAATTATACCTATGTCGACTAGTAATTAACTTGCTCATCATGAACCCTCGATAAGATATTGAAGAAGTTCCAGACTAGAAAGAAGACTTTATATTGTTTGTAAGTTTGTGAAACTTTTGTTTATAAATCATTATTTGTAATAACTATTTGTAATAACTGTTATTGTAAATTGTACTGTTGTGTGTATATTAAAATATTTTTGTGTTAAACAAAGAAACTCTGTGTATCAATATTCTTGGCAAATATCATAAACTGACTATATATCGGCTTTTACTTAACTGCTAAATCCAAAATACAATTTAATTATTAAATTTAAAGTATCATTTAACTCAACTTCAGGCTATTTGAAATTCTAATATGTAAGACTACACACTGAAAGTTACATCAATTTGTTTCTAAATATTTCAATATCATCTACTATATTTGCCACGTTCTTCAAATCTACCAATACACCATGAACAAGCATTTTTAACAATCTTTAGATAAATTGGTGTCCTTTTAAAAATATTTTAGTTGAATAGATTCATTATTGACTCAAACATAGATATTTTTCAAAAAAAGTTAAATATATAAATAAGCATATACTAGTCTATAAACGAAGTGGAATTTAAAAAAATGTACAATTTGTTAATGAGTATCTCAGATTTCAGTAAAAATCTACAAAATACATTGTTTTGTGATTCATCTCTCAATTCACAATTAAAGTATCCAAAAGTTAGCTACTTCAGTTTCATTTGTGTCAGTGTCTTTCACTTTACCAAGTAATAGTTTATGTACAATACATTACAGTTTCACTTGTGTCAGTGTCTTTCATTTTATCAGTAGTAGTAAAAGTATATTCTTGGTGACATGTATCTGTTTTTCAACTGGTGGTTTAGGCACAATGCCACAGAGTTGTTTTGGTATTTTTGGTCTACATAACTAAAATAAATTCAAGTTTCCTTTGTATTACTATCTGTAATTAAGCAGTTGATAATTCAGTTAAAATATACACCTGGAAAAAAGTTAAGCACCCCCAAATATTTTTCAGGATTGCTTA